GGAACAGCTTGTAACATTTTCATGCAAGTCCCTCGCCATTGTTAGATCTTCACGTTTTCTCGCTATTCCGAATTAAAAACACAAAAGTTTCTCTGCAAAAATTCAAGCCCAGCCGGAGAAAAATCAAAGGTCCAACGACCTTGATCGCGACAAACGTGTTAACAAAAACGCTGCCAAATGTAGCCAAAAACGCCGCCAAAACACTGTACAACTGTGCCAGCTCTACGCCGAATATATAGGAGGGTCAATGACCCTCGGCTTCTGGAAAACGAAGGTCAACTGATAAAAGTAGCAGCCTTCCTGCCAAAACTCCGTATGCTGGCAATCACGTGAAGGAATGGGAGGTTCCGGAATCTTCGAAACCAATGCACGATTGTATATAGTCGATTAATTGCCAAAATAATGGATTTTCCTTTATGTTTTTACCTTTTCCCGGATAGGTACTTCAAAGCCATCGCGACGAAACCGGACCTTAACGTGGTGCAATGGATTGCGTGCCTCAATGGTCCATTGAGTTCTGCTGGGTGGTTCCTTTTGCACCTTGACTTGACTTGAAGCCTCATACCAAATTAGCCAATGGTTAGAGGCTAGACAAACTCAGTCTGCTGGCTCTCAAGGTTGGAGTTTAGATCAAGGGTGGCCCCTTAATCTATAAAACGGATTCTGTAGCCCAGTACCAAAACCCCGCTACCTTTCGGTAAGATTTTTGAACCGAAGGCTTTGATTGAGAACCCTAATCGTTCTCCTATCTAAGCCTGGGCAACTGGACAATATCCTGCCCACTCAAAACAACATTACGACTTCTCCTTCAAATCCTCTTGATGCTCTGGCCGTCGTAGAGGATAATAAACGGCGCCCTATCTGCTGCATCGAGCAGGGTGGCTAAGGGTTTGGATGTTACTGCTCAAGCCTTCCAGTCTTCTTATTCTCCATCTGCGATTTTTCATCTTTATTATCCCGCTGTAACTTCATTTTTATTCCCTCCCTTTCAATCCCCAATTCTTGGCCCTCTACGTTCTTGCATCAATAGTCGTTTGTCTTCTAGTTTCAACCCACAAGCAATCACGGGGCGTCGCTTCACTCTAGTCGACAAGTCTATGTTCAACCGAGGCGACAGCGTCGGTTCATCCGTTTCTCTTTGGAGTCCTCAGTGCCCGCTAAGGCTGGCATGCCTCTACGTGCGCACTTTGCTGCAAATTGACCACCATGCTGCTGTTGTCCGAACACTTGCGACCCCATCAATCGATATTTTCCGTTTATTGGAAACCCACCTGCAAGATTGAAGCTCCGTGCTTAACCTGCGACTCCCCGCTTTCAACACTGTCGGTATCTTCTTATTGCGCCTGTCTGGAGATGACGCAGCTTCAAATGCTGGCCGAGCCGGCATGGGCATTGTTTCGAGTCCCCGAGCTAAAACTGCCCTGATCGATATTATCCCAACCAACAGCCGGATGTGCGCCGTGAGATTGGTTGGCTCGTTCCAGGCTTCGAAGTTTCGCGGGGACAAGCGGTGAATGCTAATAATAATATTGATAATAATAATGATAATAATAATGTGTCAGCTATATGCCGTAACGGCGCTTCGCTGCCGTGCGACCACCACCGGTCGCACGCGGGTTAAGTATACTGCGAGGACGCCCAACCCATACGCGGATTCGAACCCGCGCCGCAAGGTTACAACACAAGCTCATTCCCTCTAAGCTAGGGATCGACACAGAAAAAGCCCGCATACCGAAAATTGTTCTGATGAGCTTCATCTGGGCGGCTCATATGGTGTAGCCTTCCGTAATGATTACGGTAAGCAGTTGCTACACCTGTGTGAAGATGTACAATGTCACGCTATCTATGTATCAATTCACCTGGCCTGAGGAAGCTTTTATGTCAAAATCGAAACGTTACAAACTAAATAAAACAGTTGATTGTCCACAAATTCCTCCGAAATCATGACATCTCGATCGGTCCCAAGTATATTCCAAGAGTTCGGATACGCGTCACTTTCTCGCGAGCGTTAACTTTTCACATAGCGCTCGCCGGAAAGGGACTTGGCACCCACCAGTCTCAGACCATCCATAGACGCAAATGGATCACATCGCGATCATTTACCGCTAGAGAGGCTGCGTCCAAAACTGTCGCTCGATTTGGAGCACTAACCTGGACTCCGATCACGCTCTTGTGGGTTTCGGTCTTCGGGTACGTTTCCGTGGACATCCGCAACATTGATGTGATCACTTAGACACCAGCCAACTGGCGAAGCCAGGTGTTCTGAATGCCTGTCAAAGTGCGGTGGCATCAGGGCTGAGTAAGCGCCCACTGAATATGCTTGAAGATCACTGGTCGCATATTCACCAGAATTTGCTATCAGCAGGCATGTCTTCATGGGGCAGACAAATTACCACTCTGGACCTTGGGTCTCCGCCCAGTTTTTGGAACTACTAGATGCTCGCAGAAATGTTCCGGCTGAAAGCGAACACAATGAGCCTCGCAAAAATAGGGCAAAACCCCGCTGTAGCCTGAAGTAAGAGCGCGAATTCTGGCGATATTCTCGTGCGTCGGGGATGGAAACAGCCGTTGCCATCGTAACTTATTCTATACTTTATTCCGTCTGATACGCAAAATGGGCAGAAGCAGACTTAGTGTTGGGGGAATATATTTGACGAGGGTGGACGACCGATCCACATTTTGTCAAAAGGCCTGGAGCGTTAGGTCGAACACTTTGCAAAGCAGGTTTATTTATTTATTTATCACTTTCTTCTTCGGGCTTTGACTGGCCTTCTCCTTGGGCCATCTCCTTTGATCCGTTCTCACACCCAAAGTGGAACGTGAGATCAGATTGCATACAGCTGCAGGGACAGAGAGACTATATCCACCTCTCTTCATATTCGGGGGACCTGCTGTTGTTGATGATTTGCACAATTCACTAGCTAAGCTGGGGGAGCGGGAGACGGTTCCAGCAGCCTGTAGCCGCTCCGTCAAGGTCCCAATTTCCAGGGGAGGCTCACGTTTGGAATGCGGGAATCGCAGAGAAATCAGCCCAATCTCAATTATCCCTAAATTACCTGCGTCTGTCGTTTCCCAGAGACTAAATGGCGCGTTTGAAAGTTAGCTTCGTAAGGAGCAAGCCGGGTTCCGTTGAAGTCTAGGTTGCATCGACTACATTTTTACCTTGCGTCATTTGTTGGAGCTCCGCCATCGTGTTCCTCGACATCAAAGGTCTCCTCGATTCAGTAGATCGATGGGCCCTTTGGGACTGTCTACTTAGGAAAGGTGTGCCCGATAAACACGTAAACACTATCAGAGCGCTGTGTACGCATACTTCCGGCAAAGTGAGGGTTTATGGCAAACCGTTGCCGCCTTTCAATATCTCCAGCAGTGTGAGACCAGGTTGGTTCCATTGACGAACTCATGGAAGCAGGATAAATGACCTACAATGTGTGGAGCTGCTTCCTGGTGAGCTACTTCTTGAGTTGCGGTATACCGACAACATTGCCCTCAAATGTGACAGCTCCCAGACGTACCAAGTAGCATTGGACAGATGGACACTAGCTGTCAATCGTTTTGGGCTTAACTTTGCTCCCTCAAAATGAAAAGTCCTCTAACTCCGAAGGGCAGGGTTTACAACGGAATTGTCTCTTCAACCCTCCTATACGGTTGTTAAACTTGGCCCTTCAGGTTGACAGACATTAAGAAGCTAGTTAAGTTCCATTGTGGTTGCCTTCGCCGCTTAGCTCATGTCTGTTGGGAGCACCGCGTGGGCAATGAATGTGTTCGCTGACTGAACCGCTCAGCATCACTATATTGCACACCAGTCTCCGATGGCTGGGCTACCTGTTGCGCATGCCGTCACACCGACACCAGCAATGTGCGTTGTTTGCGCTTCGGGTCTGGATGGAAGCGGAGGAGGGGAGACCAAGTGATGACTTGGTCCAGAAGAATGAAAATCCCCACTCTGAAGTTGGCGTCGGTTGGTGCGTCCCGACTGCCAGGTTAGAGTCCCATGGATGATGAACACGTTTGGTTGGACACACTTGCTGATATGACAAAGGGACAACCTCAGTGGCATTGACGTTGTGAGCTTCTTTGTCCATCCTCCCCTTTATATTCCTACTCCAATTGCGATCTCTTACCAAATGCATAGTATGATATTCAACGTCATATTAATAGCATTTTAACCTGTTTGTAATCTGTACTTTTTAACATCTTATATTTTTTGTATTGTGACACATAAGCTGAGGTGTGCTTCTCACCCTCAGCTAACGTGTATCGCTGAGGATGCTTATGGCACTCCAAAGCCAAACACTGCTTCTAACTAGCAATTACTTGCAGATTTCAGTGGCACGGTGATCACGCCGTCTGTCGTCAATCACAACGTCCAAGGTTCCATCTCAAACTGTGACTGTCTCAGTGTCTTGACTCTAAGCAAGGAGGAAATCGGTTTTGGAGTACAGGGTTGGGTGAGAGAACAAGCTAGAATTCTCTCTGCCTCATATTTTGTCTCAGTAATCGTAACGACTGATATGTACTTCAAAGTGAACGATGGTCCTATTGGAGATTGCTTATCGCAATCCAAACTACCCTGAAACCTAACCTTGAACTCTTAGCCACCGTGAATTGAATTTTGTAGTTGTTGATCACCCAGATCTTTCGACAAGCGCTGCTGCATATACGTCATGTGGGTCCTGACTTTCCGCTTACTGAACGCGGGGTTCACTTTTTTACGCTCCATTATCATCGCACTGTACTACACTAATGTTGGTTATTCAATTTCTATTAATGCTTTATCCTTGACTGCCGGACATTTTCTTGATAAATTTCATTGAGTTGCTGATGTTGAGCAATTGACTGAGCTATTTCATGGTTATTGAATTATCACCTTGTATGCGATACCCACTGTTTCTGACAAGCAGAACTCAAATTAACGTTCAGACTCTGATCTTAACCGTTCATTGCAACAGTTCAGCTCATTTTCCTCGATTGTCCTTTACTTTTAAAATCTCATGCAGCATATATTCTTACGGTGATGTCAACTTGGAATGGTGTTTGGAGTATTTAAACAAAGAATATCTCCAAAATTATACTCTCCTGGAGTTGGAGAATCACGTTCCGCTGGAGCCAGTTTGGGATGCTCCTGTAAGTCAAGTGTATACCAATGAGGTCAATTTGTTGTTTTCTTTCTACTAATCTTACTTTTATCTTTTAAGTGACGTGAGTATCTTTCTCGATCCCTCACTATGCCAATCATCCGATTCACGCGAGAAAATCGAAATGGCTCACATTCTGTTTGCCTCTCTTTTTTCCCACCATGGTTTTCCATTTTAGCCAATGCGTTAAACTTTCGATATGCGTAAAGTCCTATCGCCATGAGACCGGAACTTTGTTTGATGTAATGGCTTGCGTGCCTGAACGACCCGTTTGGCTATGCTTGATGGTGTTTTCCACACCAGATTAGCCAGTTGTTGCAGGCCAGACAAACCCATTCTCTTGTCCTTCAGATTAATGGTTGGCTCCTTATTCCATGAAAGTTACTCCATATAACCCGCTATCTAACCTCCGGTGACCTACAACCTGGTTTTACAGCTCTACTGTACAGTTGACAAATCCATACCATCAGCTCGAAAGTTGCTCGATAGTTGCCGGTTGCCTTCTCCCCTCGGCGCCTTCGCGGCTTACCTTCTTTCTCGTGGGAACATGTCGCGTGCTGTGAGGATGTTTCTCGTCTCACTTATAGCGCTGGAATAGCAAGTGGACCGCTCATGACCGTTATTTCACGAACCACGTTCCGACGATTGTGTCTGGGGTCCTAAGGACGATAAACACGTTTGATTGGACGTTTGATTGCTAATATGGCTAGGAGCCGGCCCCGATGGCGTTTGTGTTGTGGGTTCCTTTGTCCATCCCCTGTTTAGCATCCCCTCCAATCTGGATCTCACTCGTTAGGTACAATATAACTTGTTGCGGCAAGTTAGCCGGCTGTTAGCTTATCGGAACGATGTCCATCCGTTACTGGGGACTCAGCCGGCGTGCCACTGTTGTATTTTTTCTTTTTGTCTTTAGTGTTGCGGCACAATATCTGTGTTTTCCACCTGCAGCTAACGTGTATAATGAATGAATGGAACGATTGTGTCATGTGTTACCCGTACCCGTGCAGGGACTCCTGTAACGTGCGTTATTTATGCAACCGCATAATCCAGCCTGTGACTTGGTCAAGAGGAGTGTAGGATCTAACTTCGAAACTGGCCTCGGTTGGTGCTTCCCGATTATCGGACTAGGGTACCAAAACGATGAACACGTTTGGTTTTGGACACCTGTTGATATAGCGAAGAACTGACCACATATTGGTATCTATGTTATGAGTTTCTTTGTCCCTCTCCTCTCTCTTCCCCTCCTTTTCCAATCAAAACCTCAATCTCTATGCGTAATAATGACAAAACATCCTATTGCTTATTTTGTCTTGGTTGTTTTGTTCTTTTTCTTCTCTTTAGAATAGCAGACTGCGTTACATTGCGGCACAATATCTGAGGTATTTCTCACCTCTGACCAACATATGGAATGATGATTAGTGATGTACATGACATATAGGAATTTTTTCTGGATCTTTTTATCCAGATTTCTTCTGTCTTTACTTCTATACTGGGTATTAGGAGAACAGCTATTAGACATTCATTTTTTGTGAACGAGCTTAGTAGCTATTCTTTACTCTTCCTATTTTCTATTTCTTGACTGTTGTTTAAACGCTCTACTGGGTTAGCCCGATTGGTACACTTACGTCATTGTTAATGGACGCTCATCGTCATGTCCTTTTCAGCAGCGCCATTTGCAAGAACACATTCCATTGGTTTTTTTTCTCATCATTGTTCTACTTGGTTATGTTAAAGGAATATTTAGTTGTCACACAATTATTGTACTAGTTTTCAATTTTTGGGTTTGCACTTCTTATTCTCTTTTGTTTCGTGACATTTGTTTAAACGTTTTACTTTGGTATTCTGATTGGCCAGTGCCCGTCACTGTAAATGGATGTTCGCTTTACGCTTGGAGTCCCATGATGCTATTTTTAAGGACATATGCGATTCGCTATTGAGTACACGGTTGCTCATTCGCCCGTTGCATTTTGCGTTTTTCCTTCTGTTGGTTGGTTCAAGTGTAATTTAGTAGCTTCCCTTCAGTTTGCCTTCAAAACTATATAAGTAACTGTGATTTCATGTATACAAGTCTCTTTCTGGCTCGTCTTTGGACTTCTTCTTGCGGTCGTTGGTTGAAGGCGTCAGCGGCGACACAACAGACTTTCTGGCGACGGAGGTTCCGGTAAACATTTTGATTTCGTTCGAGCAAAGGCAGACGCTTCTTCAACTGCAACAACTGCAGTTTGAAAAATCTCAACGACAGTTGATCGAGTTGCTATCTCAGAAACTGAACATCCAAAGCGAATCCCCGACGACAACCGCACGGCCATCTGTGGACGCCCTTGAGGCTTCAATCACAAAATTTGTTTTCGATGGATTGAACGGATTGACATTTGAATCCTGGTTCCTAAAGTATGAAGATATTTTTCCAGTGGAACTTGCAGACCAAGACGATGCCTGGAAAGTTCGTTTGTTGTTGAGGAAACTTGGCGCAGTCGAGCATGAATGTTACACAAATTTCATGTTGTCGAAGAATGCAAGTGACTTCAGCTTCGATGAGACAGTGAAAACACTGATGCAGATATTCGGTGAGCAGGCATCTGTGTTCAGTGTTCGCTACAATTGTTTGAAGTTAGTCAAACTCGATGCCGTTGCTTTTGTCACACATGCCGGGATCGTAAATCGCGAATGTGAACGGTTCAAACTGGGTATGATGACACCTGATCAATTAAAGAGTCTTATTTTCGTGTGCAGTCTTCAGTTCCACGCTAATGCCGATATTTGAACACGAATTCTCCACAAGCTCGAACAAAAACCACTTTTAGCGCTGCAAGAGATTACAGCCGAATGTCAGCGACTGATTAATTTGAAGCACAACACAAAAATGATTGAAACTGCTGATCACAGGACAGAACCCCAGATTTGTCGCACAGCTATCCGTGGTAAGGTGATGAACCGGAATCTGTCAACTCAGAAACCCCCGACCGCATACTGAAATTGTGGCGCTTGGCATTTTGTGAGAGACTGTATCTACAAAGGGCATCAATGTCACAAGTGCAAGCGGTTTGGTCATAAAGAAACCCACTGTCGAGTTGCGCATTACTTCAGACGTTCATTACCCTCGAGATTGCGCACAAACATCAACTTCAAAAGGGCTTAATTTCATGGACCGGCCACAAAGGTAATTCTCGCTGCGTTTCGCACGGAATTCGCAGGCAAGAGGAAGTATTTAACAGTAAAAGTCAATAATATTCCAGTCACTTTGCAACTAGATACGGTGTCCGACACCACAATCATTTCGCGCTCCACATGGAGGAAGCTTGGGAGACCATCATTCAAGCGAACTACTCTGACGGCTCAGAATACATCCGGGGAACCCCTGAGATTGGTTGGAGAGATTGAATGTGAGATCAGCTTCAAGGAACTACAACTCCGTGGCACGATCTTCCTAGTCTCATGCACCGACGTTAATCTTCTCGGAATCGATTGGATTGAGAAGCTGAACTTGTTCAATGTACCACTGAATCGTGTCTGTGCTGAAAGGAATGTCACGGTGCACCATACAGCCATACCTACTCCTCCGGGTCAAAGCATCTCTGAACAGATTCAAACGAAGTATGCGTGTGTATTCCAGTCGGAACTTGGACACTGTAAGAAAATGCAGGCAAAATTTACTCTGCTTCTGGATGCCAGACCAGTGTTTCCACCCAGGCTTCCTTATGCATCCCAAGCACTTGTTGAACAGGAACTTGATCGATTGCAACAGGCCGGAGTGATCGAGCGAGTCAATTTCTCACCGTGGGCTGCGACTGTTGTTGTGATCAAGAAACCGAACGGTTCTATTCGTTTGTGTGCAGATTTTTCAACGGGTCTGAATGCTGCACTGGAACCCCATCAGTATCCGCTTCCACTCCCTGAGGACGTGTTCGCGAAGCTGAACGGAGGCAAGTATTTTGCTACTCTTGATCTTGCGGACGCCTATTTGCAGTTAGAAGTTTAACCGGAAAGCAGAAAGCTTCTAACAATCAACACTCATCGCGGTCTCTACCAGTACAACCGTTTGCCATTTGGAATCAAAACGGCACTGGCAATCATTCAGCAAGTCATGGATGCCATGCTGACGGGTGTAACTGGAGCAGCAGCCTACCTGGATGACATCGTCATAATGGGCTCGACGCAAGATGAGTTATTTCAACGATTGAATGACGTGCTGCAGAGAATCAAAGATTACGGTTTCCGATTACGAGCGGATAAGTGCAGATTTTTCCTGAAGTCAATTAAGTTCCTGGGTTTCGTTATTAACGAGAACGGCCGACTACCCGATCCCGAAAATATCGAGATGATAGACCGGTTACCGGCGGCATCGGATGTCACAACTTTAAGATCATTCCTTGGGATGGTGAGTCACTATAGTGAATTTCTACCATGCATGCATCGCTTGCGTTATCCTCCAAACCATCTGCTGATGAAAGACGTCGAATGGAAATGGTCTGCACAGTGTCAACAGTCGCTCGAGCAACTGAAATCTCTGCTAAAGTCGGACTTATTGCTTACACATTATAACCCGAAGCTGGAGATTATCGTGGTCACGGATGCTTCAAGCTATGGAATTGGTGCTGTCATTTCACATCGTTTTCCAAATGGATCCGAAAAGGCTATAGCACATGTTGCACAAGCGCTGACGGCATCCGAGAAGAATTATATTCAGATTAAGAAAGAAGCGTTGACTATCAACTTTGCCGTGCAGAAGTTTCATAAGATGGTATATGGTCGACGGTTCACTTTGGTGACTGATCACAAACCGCGTCTGGCAATCTTTGGATCCAAAAAGGGGATTCCAGCATATACGGCCAGTCGACTTCAGCAATGAGCAACTCTGCTCTTGAGGTATGATTTCAGCATTCGATACTTGTCTACGGATTCTATAGGGCAAGCGGACGCCCTATCCAGATTAATCGATACCGGTAAGCGTGAGTCAGAAGACGCAGTCATTGCCTCCATCGCAGCCGA